CCCCCCACCTGCTCATGCACTCTCTCTCTCTCTGTGTGTCTCTCTCTCTCAAATAAATAAATAGTCTTGAAACTCCCTCACACTTAATTGTGTGTAGGAGGTAGCCCCTGGGGCATGCTTCACATGGTCTGTCCTGGGTTTGACAGCCCATTTCCTCTTTAAGCAAAGTCGCTGTGTTCCTGAGTGCCCATGTGAGAGAATGCGGTTGGTGGAAGGGTGGGGATGTTTAGGGATCCCGCTGAGGAGCCAATGGCCGTGCCCCACTTCCACCTGGGCCCCTCTGGTGACCAGGATTCCTCATCTCGCACCTCTCCCCCATCCTGATGGGATGGTTGCAGGGGCTGACCTGCTGGAGGAACATCTCGGAGAGATCCGGAACCTGCGCCAGCGCCTGGAGGAGTCCATCTGCATCAATGACCGGCTGCGGGAGCAGCTTGAACACCGGCTCAGCTGTGCAGCCCGTGGGAGCGGTAGGAGATGCCCAGAGCTGCCCATGCTGCCACGACCGGGGAGCCTCTGGAGGCTGGGCTTCACGCTTTCCAAAGCATGTGCTGGGCTTTCCTCTACTTGCACCTTCCAAAGTCTGGCAAGGCAGGGGGATAGGTGCTCTTATCCTCACTCAGAGCTAAGAGAGAACTTTTCTCCTGGCAGAGCTAACGAGGCGTGTCTGCAGGGCGTCTGACTTCCCAGCCCGTCCTTAATCTGCTCGTATATGTGCCTGCTGACCTCTCTGCCTTGTCATGGGATTGGCACGTGGTGGAGCCCGCTCAGTGGGCGCCCTCCCGCAGCCACTCACCAAGCCGGCCGTTCTCCCAACACTCTCCTCTCAGGCTGCGTCTCTTGGAGGCCATTCCTTCTACATGCCCCTGTCCTGCCCCCAGCCCCGTGGTGGCTCCTGTGGGGACAAGAGCCTCTGGAACAGCTGCAGCTAGGGCACATGGTGGGGCCCATACAGAAACCAGGCATTTGGCTCACCAGGCTTGGGGTCCAGGCCTTGGGAACCCAGACACTCCTGCTGGGTTGGGACAGTATTTCTGGAGGGACAGAATGGGTAGTTTCTGGAAAGCATCTGTTACCCTAATGTGTAACGTGTCTTCTTACACTTTCTGGGACAGGATCTACCTCCAATTTCTACAGCCCCGGCCTAGAACCCACACCTCAGCTCTACAACGAGAACAGAGTCCTTAAGGAAGAAAACCGGAGCCTTCAGGCTCAGCTGAGTCATGTTTCTAGAGGTGGGTGGTAAAAGCTACACACTGTGCTCCTTCCCAGTCCCTTTCCTCCTGGCCACACCAATCACCTTTTGAAGCCAAGAGAAGAAGGTGGAGATAACAGCTAACCAGATCCACCAACCCAAGGTCCTCTGCGGTTCTCAGTCTAGAAGGGGCTACTTCCTGAGAGGTCCCAACCGTGGGCCCTCACACTCCGAGGTGCTCGGGACAAAGATAGCTCTAGCAAACCCACCACCTCTGTGCAACCCACAGATACTCAGATACTCAGTCATTAGTTATGAACTGGATACCAGTTAGGTGTCTGTTCTACCTGTCCAGACTTTACTGCAGCCTCATGTGTCTCTCCCGGTACTTAGCTGCCATCCCCGTCTCCTCACTGCTTCCCCTCACTCACTCAGTCTGGGCTCCTCTCTGCTCAGTAATCCTCAGGACTCTGTGCCTGGAAGCACCAGCCAGATGTCCTCCAGAGCATTCCCAACACTATTTAATGGACATCCAAGGGAGGGGGGCATCATTTCCTCTGTGACCTGGGGGCAGCTGACCTTAGTGTCAATTGACTTGATCAAATCTATATATGGTCAATAAAAATTATATTTATCTGCAAATATTTATTGAATAGCCATGAAAGACTAATACTTTCCTAAAGGATTAAGCCCAGAATGAAAGAATGTTGTGGAACGGGAAGAGACAACAAGTGATGTTTCTTAATCGGTCTCTTTGGAGCAGGAAGATGTGAGGGGAGAGGTCACTGATGGGGAAGTAACGAGACGTCACAGAGAAGAGAGAAGACATAACTGCTAAACCATCATTGCATGCCGGGACAGGCTAGCACAGACCTCAGTGGGGAGAAGTCACTAAGATGTGGACAAGCACGGTGGGCCAGGCCCAGGGACTTCCCCCTGGTAGACTGATAGCTCCTGCAGCCTGGTTCTCAGAGCCCCTGTCCTTAGTCTCTGGGAAATCATGCAGGTTGTTGAGATTCCACAAGCCCAGAAAAGGACAGATGTCCCCATTTTCAAATTGACGAATATAATATATTCTAAAAACTGTAGACAAGCAGTCTTGATGTTGCTCTTTGGCAAAATTAAAGAAGGGATTATCACACAGACGGTGTGTGAACTTAGAAAATAGCGAGCATTAGAAACCACAGTGTTTGGGGCACCTGGGTGGCTCAGTGGGTTAAGACCTCTGCCTTCGGCTCAGGTGATGATCCCCTGCTCTCTGCTCAGCGGGGAGCCTGCTTCCCCCTTTCTTTCTGCCTGCCTTTCTGCCTACTTGTGATCTCTGTTGGTCAAATAAATAAATAGAATCTTTGGAAAAAAAAAAAAAAAAGAAACCACAGCTTTTGGGGCACCTGGGTGGCTCAGTTGGTTAAGCACCTGCCTTTGACTCAGATCATGAACCCAGGGTCCTGAGATGGAGCCCCCTGCTCAGCAGGGAGAGGAGTCTGCTTCTCCCTCTCCCTCTGCTTCCTCCCTGCTGCTCCTGCTTTGTCTCTTTCTCTCAGATAAATAAATAAATTCTCAAAGAAAATGGAGGAAGGAAGGAAGGAAGGGAAGAAGGAATGAAGGAAAGAAGGAAGGAAGGAAAGAAGGAAAGAAAGAAACTGCAGCGTTTTCTCTAATAGCAGGGTAGACCTTATGAAAGCAGAAGATCAAGGGCATTGCAAAGATGGAGGGTCCACATTCCAAGGGCATGTGGATGTAGTGAGCTGACACCCTCTGCTTCTCTGAGCAGCTGTGGCATCAGCTTGCATTCCCGTTGCCTTAGTTCTGCACGTCAGGATGGAGGAGTTTGGGCTCCTTGTCCTGCCAGCCTCTGCCCCCACAGTGTAAGTTGTCCTGTGTTCTGCTCCCCAGAGCACTCCCAGGAGACGGAACACCTGAGGGAGGCCCTGCTGTCCTCGAGATCCCGGCTTCAAGAGCTGGAGATGGAGCTGGAGCGCCAAAAGGGGGAACGGCAGCAGCTTCTGGAAGACTTGAAGGAGAAGCAACAGGAGATCTTGCATTTCCAGGAAGAACGCCTGTCCCTCCAGGAGAAAGACTCCAGGTAAAGGGGAGCCCAATAAGAAGGAAGGGGACCCTGTTTTCAGATTTAATGAGATATTGGCAAGATAGGTATTGGAGCCTTTTCGGGCCCTCAGTTTCCCCTCTGCTATGCTTGATTTATGGATGAATTCTAGCAGAAGGAAGGACTTCTCTGAGAATGCCTTTTCACTCCAAAGTTGGGAGAGTAAAACCCTATTGTAGAAGGCTTCAGCATATCAGGGGCGCCTGGGTGGCTCAGTCAGTTAAGTGTCCGGCTGTTGATTTTGGCTCAGGTCATGATCTCGGTCATGAAAATGAGCCCTGTGCTGGGTTTGGTGCTCAGCTTGGAGTCTGCTTGGGGTTCTTTCCCTCCTCTTCTCCATCCTCTTCTGCTCCTCCTACCGCTTGCAGGCAAGTGATCTCTGTCTCTCTCAGATCAATCTTTTGAAAAAAAGAAGGGGAGGTTCAGCGTATCAGATCCTGGAGAAAAAAATGTTCTCATCCTTCCCATAAGTTTAAGGATATTGGTCTCACTGTAATGTAGGAAGCATCCCCACCAGCCATCATGCGTGTCCCTGACACAAACCCTATGACTGCAAGTCACCAGGAATAGAACACCATAGGGGCAGGAAGAATATGGAGCTTGCCTGTCTGCTCCCAACTAACGTAGCTAATGGCATGACATCAAGCAAAGTTACTTCCCGACTAATGTAGCTAATGGCATGATATCAAGCAAAGTTACTTCACCTCTCAGAGCCTCTGTTTCCACATCCGTAAAGTAAAAGTAATGGTCTTCATGATCCCTGGATTGACATCTAGGGCTAAAGCCCCATGATGCGAAGGCTGGCTGACAGCAGGTGGCCTGGAGGGGCCGAGGGGCACCAGGCGCTCAGCAGGCCCTTGCCTCCCCCTGTGCAGGCTGCAGCACAAGCTCACCCTCCTGCAGCAGCAGTGTGAGGAGAAACAGCAGCTCTTCCAGTCCCTCCAGTCGGAGCTACAGATCTACGAGGTGCTTTATGGCAATTCCAAGAAAGGGCTGAAAGGTATGTGTTCTCCCTCTCCCCTTCCCGGTTAGTTCCCTGCCCTTGCTTAGGATTCTGGTGTGGTCCTTACTCTGGGAGTTGTAGAGCTCTGGAAAGCTACAGAGTTCTGCCTCAGCCAGGTCTGGGGCTCCCAGTAAGAACAAAGTGGTTCTCTCATGTGCGAAGCCCAGAGGTTGGTGACATGAGCAAGATCCAGCCAAGACATCCTTAAAAGTAGTTGGACAAGAGTCTAACTCTGCCTGCCTAGGTGGCCAGAGAAAAGTTGAGCAAAGTACAAGTAATATAGTGATTTAAAAAAAAAAATTCAAAGAACTTTCCTGATGACACCATCATGTGAGAAGCTCTTGAATATTGTGAATAATACATATTGCCCCCATGCAGCCAGTAGAGCGGGTGCCCTGCTCCTATCCTGACACATTCCTCAGGGAGAAAGTTAAAAGATGCACAACATTTACAGAAATACCTCTGTTAGGATCTAAATTCCAAGCCTGGATTTAAAATTTAAACTGTTTTATTGAGGACTTTTTGCCACCTGCTAAAATACTGATCTAATGTTGGAGAATCTTCTTCTATTTCCCCATTGTTGTTCAAATGGGGGAGGGTATTGTAAACATCAAGTTAATAACTCCAACCAGGCTGGAACAGAGTACTGATGTCAATATGATGAAATTTAAAAAAGATTGGGGCACCTGGGTGGCTCAGTGGGTGAAGCCTCTGCCTTCAGCTCAAGTTATGATGTCAGGATCCTGGCATCGAGCCCACATCAGGTTCTCTGCTTGGTGGAGAGCCTGCTTCCGCTTCTCTCTCTGACTGCCTCTCTGCCTGCTTGTGATCTCTGTCAAATAAATCAATGAAATCTTTATAAAAAAATAAAAGAAATTTAGAAAAGATAAAAAAGAAAGAAAGAAAAAGAAACCCTGAGCTTGATTAAAAATATCAGTGGTAGAGGTACAGGATCAGGAGGCCTGGTTCTCTAGCCATTCGTGGACTTGAGAATAGGGAGTTACTTAGAAACCCGCTGGGACAAGGAACTTGTAGGCAAAGGTTGCTACAAAAACCAATTCAAACTGAGACCACGGCAGGGTGAGAGACCGTGTCAGAAATATTGTTAGATTGTGGGACACCATCTTGTAAAAGGGACTT